ACAGGTTCACTCTTACTTTTCTAAACACTGCTCCTTCCTTTGTTACGATTATTGAAATAGTCTCCTTACCTGCCAGACCACTGTTGGTATTATTTGGAAAATATACATATTTTCCTAATTTTTTAAAGATACAATGGTAAGATGCTAGGAAAAGTTACATGTAATTTTATATTACTTACTCAGTTTCCACTTTAAGGCCAAAATCAGCCAGGTCTTCATTTTTAGAAGTGTATCTGTCATAACATTCATTCATCAAAGACTGAAGGGATGAATAGACCTTGCATGTGTTGTTGCGGACTTTTAGTTGACGGACTCTGGGGACTCCTAAAAGTATGTTCTCATAGTAGATGCGACTGGTGTTCTTTAAATCATACAACGTCTTGTTAGTGTACCATGCGTCCCAGTACAGACCTTCCAAAAGGGGTCCTTCCATAAACTTCATATAGAAAGATAAATGTTATGGGAAAAATATTTTCATGTCAATTGTTTAACAGAATCTACATTCATAATGTTACCTTAAGAACATAAAAATCAGTGATTTTGAGGAGTATGAAAATTACTGACCAAGCCACCATTAATATTAAAGATATGATGATGATGTCGATGATGATAATGAAGATGGTTAATATTTACTGAGCCCTTACTATGTACTATGCACTGCTCTAGCACTTTACAAATATTAATTCATTTAATTCTACAACTTTTCTTTTCCCTTTCTTATATGAGGGGTATACTGAAAACTGTCCCCTGATACATGAGTATATAAACCCATAGCCATACACTTATGGTTGTTATAGCCACAACTCATCACTTGCCCTCGAATTTGTCTGTGTTCTCCTTCCCCACCAGTTCCAGCAGTGGTGACTGCTACTACTTCCTGGCTCTGCCATTCTGAGATCCCCAAGCCTGGGTTCGGTTTTTCCTTTCCTGCCTTTGTCTTCTTTGCCATTGGCCATGTATACTTCAAGATAGCACAATAAAAAAATAGGGTGAACTGCACTTCTAGTCTCAGGGAAGATCTCCTTTTTCTTTTATATTTCACCTGGACTATACCAATGACCTCGAATCATCTGCTCTCATCTCAAACTTCCCCTCTCTCTCGGGAAGTGACCCTGTCTCCTTCCCATAAGTTTCAGTTTCCTAGCATGGCATTCATGATTGACCTCTGTTCAATTCAGAGTTTGGCCTTTTCCACCTCATCTTCTATATTCCTATAATGCCAAACATAGCTCCATATGTAGAATTACTTATAGCACATATTGTTTATCCTTCCTAGAATGCCCTCCTGTTACTCATCCTTTAAAATGCAAGTGAACTGTCATCACCTCTGGAAAACCTTCCTTATATGGCCCAATGTTTGTGACTTGGGATACCTGAAACTTCTGTTCTCTTAATTGTTCTTTCCTAATAATGTGAGCATCTTGATAAGTTAAATGTAATGGAAAAAAACAAATCTGTTCCAAAGCTGAAGGAATGGTACTCTCACATAATTAAAAACACTATAGGGCACCTGGGTGGCTCAGTTGGTTAAA